CCATAGTTTTATACCAAAAGTGAAAATAAACTGAAATTATAGATTAAAAATACATTCATAAATAAATATATTTATAACACTCATCGACTCTCTCCTGGCTAAAATATTACTTATCTATCTATTCAGCTCTGTTCCGTCTATTTTTTGCCGTTAGCCTCCTTCTGCAAGTATCAAGTGTTATACCTATCTGATGCTTGGTCCTGCAAAGTTCATTTTCAGTACACCTGCTTATGTGATATCTATCTCGATGTCAAGTTTGATTGAACACCCGTTTCTTGCCTATTACTCTTATACTTAACCAGAACTAGCTTAGACTCGAACGCATATGTTTAATTCGGCCAAAACACCGCCTTGGTACACAAATATCTATTTTACCACTGGTTTCATTACAAAAAACTGGAGTAAAGGGTAAAATTATCTCTTGTCCAGTACACTCGTATAGACTTGAGTATTAGCCTATATTATTTTTGAATGAAGACGTATACATTTAAAAATGTCGCTTACTTAAAAATAAACATTTAATTTTGATATTTTATTTAACTCAATCAAAACATTAAATTATTCATAGAAAAATAAAAAGAAATTATTATTTTTTATTTATATATGGCTTATACCGGACCTGTATGTACTCTAGTAGCCATGGAGTAGCTGCCAGTGTTGCCGTCAGTTGCCGCCACATATTAATTAGTAACATACGTTTTATAAATGCATCGTGTTACATATTTGTTGACATAAAGAGATAGAAATTTAAACTGACGTCTTGTATTACTTCGGATGAAAAAAATCGATAATGCAATTTTCTAACCTAAAAAAAATCGTGATTATATGTCAAACGAAATTGAACTTGGCCTTAACGGCGTTTAAAAATATTGGCGGCCTTTAAAAATAGTTTCGTATCCGTTAATTTACTTCTATCATTATTTAAACAGATTTCTTTAAGATAGTACTCTAATGTATTTTAAAGATCCGTTTAAATAATGACAGAAGTAAAGAAGAAAATATTTTTAAAGGCCGTTAAATATAAAGGAATTGTTACAGAATAGACCCCTATGACCCGTTTTTCATCTTGTCCATAAGCATATGAGCAGTCTATACATAAATATCACTGCTAAATACAAGAAAAGAAGAAGTAGACAAATCAAAATACCGCGTAAAAGAGTTTATGACATCTGTCATTATATTAAAGGTACAATGTACACAAAAAATCAGTTTTTTAATTTTTATATGTGATCTGTGTATGTGATATCTAATTGTTTAAATAATGTCGACTAGAAAAAGAAAACCATTTAATAATAATACTAGTGAAAATTCTACCCCTTTGAAAAAAAATAAACCTGAGGAAATCGCAACTCAAAAACGAGCCGGTGTTGTTAATCGAATATCTTTAAAAAATTTCATGTGCCATTCGTTTTTAGAAGTGACTTTCATTAAAAACACTTTTGTTATCGGTAAAAATGGAAGTGGCAAAAGTGCCATTCTAACAGCCCTAATAGTAGGCTTAGGAGGAAAAGCTGCTCTTACAAACCGAGGTAGTAGTGTAAAAGGTTTCGTTAAAGCTGGAAAACCGTCTGCAAATATAGAAATAGAATTGTGCAATGAAGGCCCGATGGCTTATAAACCAGCTGTGTTTGGAAACAATATTATCATCATACGAAATATAACCGCTAGTGGATCAAGTTCTTACAAGGTAAAGTCAGATACTGGAGATTTAATATCGACTCAATCTCGCGAGGTACATAACATTACACTCGGCTTAAACATTCAAGTAGACAATCCAATATGTATTCTAAATCAAGATACATCTAGAAATTTTTTAAATAGTAACAATCCGAAAAATAAATTTACTCTATTTATGAAAGCTACAAAACTTGAAAGCCTTGAACTCGAATACAAGAAAACGCAAAGTAATCAAAAAGATTGTGTAACAGTATTAAACGAAAAATCAGTTAATTTCAAAAAGCTTCAAGATCAAATTAAACAATTTAAACAAAAAATAGACAATCATAAGTCTATTATGTCTTTACGCGATAAAAAAGATTTGCTGCAAAGAGAGCTCATTTGGGCGAAAGTTAGGGATACCGAAGAAGAACTCCATGGCTGTCAGTTAAATTTGAATACTCTAGAAAAAAAGCTAAATAACTATAAAATTAATTCAGCTAAACGAGTAGAAAATATGCAAGAATTTAAAGATAATATTGATAGATTAGAACAACAACTTCTTGAAATAAAAGAGAAAATTGAAGTAAAGAAAATACCCCAACGGGATATAAAAAGTGAAATTGAAGAACTATTTAAAAACCTTTCTTCAAAAAAAAAAGAAAAACAGCGTCTTCTAACCTCCATACAAAATAAATCCACCGATATACAGACATTAAAACAAGATATTGGCGAATCGAAAGAAAATATGTCTAAAGTAGAAAAACAAAAGATGGAAAGGAACCGAAATTTAACCACTCTTCAAAATAAATTAAAAGAATTAGACGATCATTTAGGCGCCGCTAAAAATGACTTGTTTCAAATGAGGGGCGATTTATCACGAAAGGAAAACGAAGAAGATGGTTTGAAACAAGAAATCTCACAAATTGATAGGAATTTAAATAACGAAAAGAATAAGTTGAATGATATGAGTGCGGGATCTAGTAATGAGCTGCATTTGTATGGAAGAGATATTCCTAGACTTAAGCAAGCTATTGCTCAGAATAAGCATAAATTTCAGCATGAACCCAGAGGCCCGTTGGGATCTTATATAAAGATGAAGAACAAACAGTGGACAGTGGCTGTTGAAGGTTTGTTACACATAATATTAAACTTATATTAACATTTTAATATATAATAATAATAATAATAATAATAATTATTATTATTTGGCTCTGAGACATACATATTTACAATAATTTTAAAAGTTTAAAAAATATATAAACATATAAGATCCATTAGCCTTATCAACACAATAAATTTAAAAAAAAATGTTACAAATAAGGTAAAAATTAAATACAAATTGAAAGTTTGAAATATTATAGTATACACTAGGGTAAAACAGACTATAGATAGATATTTATTGAACTAGGATAAACCTAATATCCAAAAAAAATATAATAGAAATAAAGTAGAATTTATTCATCTTTGAGAATTATACACTATACAAAGACACTAGGTACATAATGTAAAATCCTATCAGGCTAGTCAAAAAAGTGTTAAGTAAAATATATTAAAAAATAAAATATATATAATAGACAATTCATGTTAAGATTAGTTTAAAAGTACAAAAAATCTTCTATACTATAAAATATATTATTTACAAGAAAATCATTAAGATGTTTTCTTAAATCATTACGACTAATTTGATGATAACCTGTAGTATCTTCTAATATGTTACTGAACTTATTGTAACACTTAATCCCAATATATTTTGGTGAATGCTTATTTGTAGTCGTGAAAAAGGTTGATGGATGTTAAACTTTAATCTAGTATCATATGAGTGCAGGTCTTTATTTTTCTTAAATATATGCTCATTATCTTTTACATATAAAATTAGTTGAAAAATAAAAAGGGAAGGTAGTGTTAAAATTTGCGTTTACTTGAAAAGTTCTTTACATGATGTTGTTGGTGTCACCTTATACATGGCTCTCAGAACCTTCTTTTGATATACAAAAGCTCTTTCAAAGTATGGTGAAGAACCCCAAAATATTAACCCATATTGTAGAGTTGAATGAACCAAACCAAAATAGCATAGTTTTAAAGGATCAAAAGATAGTGTCTCCCTTAAATTTTTGATGATATAACAAGTACTTAATTTTGAAGTTACCCAATTTAATTTGGGATCTAATATTATTCCTAAAAATTTTATGTCATCAACGCTTTGAATAGTTTTTCCGTCAACGTGCAAGTAGGGTTCGTAATCTGGTAATATGTTTTTGGGTAGAAATTGCATGGAGTTTGTTTTTGTCACATTTAATGCCAGACCGTTATCTTTACAATACTGGTTAAACTCACGAGATGCCTCGTTGCTACTTTGAGTGACCTGTTCAATTTGATCATCTGCCATTACAATATTGGTATCATCGGCATATTGAACAATTTGTTGAGAGCTTAAACAAAAATTACTTATATCACTTATAAAGACTATAAAAAGAAGTGGGCCCAAAATTGAACCTTGGGGAACTTCTATTGTACATGGAAGAGGATCAGATTTTAGACTTTCTTACAATTACTTGAGTTCGATTTATTAAGTAAGACTGTATCCATTCATAAGGTTTCCCTCGTATTCCTAACCCATTCATCTTCAATAATAAAATATTATGATCCACCATATCAAATGCACGGCTAAGGTCATAGAAGAGTCCCAAAATATGTTTTTTTATCATTGAGTGCTTGATATATAAACTCTAGGCAAGGTGCAATCGCAGTAGATGTTGACTTATTTTTTCTAAATCCATTTTGAGTATCTGGCAACATATTAAAACTTTCAAGGTAATTAGTGAGTCTAATAAAGTATGCTGACTCAAATATTTTAGTTATTTGACTAGATATACAGATTAAATGATAATTTTCTATATTAGATGCAGATCCCTTATTTTTATAAACAGGAATTCCTTTAGCTTCCTTCATATTTGGGAATAATCCCAAAACAAAGGATTCATTAATCAAATGTGATATGGGTTCAGCAATACAATGAGCAACTGATAACAGAATTTTACCATTTATTTCGTCAATACCTTCAGTGGGTTTAGAAGTAGTTTTTTTGATTATAGTGATGATTTCACTAGGAGTTGTTGGAAAAAGAAAAAAACTTTTATGATGTTTATCAATACTCATAGTATAGTTAGGTACAATCTCGGGTACAATATTATTTTTATTTACATTAATAAAATAATCATTGTTATAATTTACTTTTTCTAAGGGTGTTAATTTGTCATCATTTGTAAGTTTAATAGGATTCAATAAGTTGTTTTTTTCTTTTTCCCCTACTCTCGTTTATTATGTTCCAGGATTTTTCATTACGTTATTACTTTTTAAAATATGATCATTATTTTTTCTTCTCAAATATTGTTTTGTTATTTTTTGATACTCTTTTTTTAAATTATTGTAACGTTCTGTATAATATGTAGAATTTATTTCTTTCTTTAACCTGTTCATTTCACATAATAGATTATGTAACATGTAATTCTTTAATATGAGGTGGAAACTGATTTTTTAATTTTTGTGGTTTTATCGCTTTCTTTGTTTTCGTAAATACAATATTGTAGTGGTATAGGAATGATTCATAAAAGATAGAAAATGTATTATTAAAATTAGTAGATGTGTATACTTCACGCCAATTTTCAACTGATAAAATATTTATAAAAGTTATTGCGTTAGGATCACTTAAATCTCGTTTATATCTGTATTTAAATTCGTTATTTTCAAAATTAGGTAGTTTAATCGAACATAATAAGTTATGATCAGTTATGATCAGACAAAAAAAGTATCATATACACCCACCTTATCTAAATCAAAATTGGTAAAAAAATTTATCTAAACAAGTTGAGGTTGTATTTGTTGTTCTCGTTACAACATTTTTATGATGTTTAATATTAAATTCCTTCAATAAGTCAATTAAAACAGTTTTTTTGATTACCTTCAATCAAAAAATCTAAGTTAATATCACCACAGATAAAATAGTGATTGTCGTATTGATAAATATTATGAATTAATAGCTCTAGCTGATTTATAAAAGTGCTAAACTTAGTACAAGGTGGCTTATACACAGTAATAATAAATAAAAAAAGTTTAGAATCGATCTTTATTTTTCCACCACATACTTCAAATTCACCTTCTATACACCACCTATGTAAATTAATTGATTCAAAATTTACAGCAATACTTGTTTTCATAAATATACTAGCACCTCCTTTTTCTTTATTTATCTGTGAAAAATATGATACTAGCTTAAAATCGTCAATTGAGGTAGCTTGTAAATTGTTAGAATCAAGCCAATGTTCAGTAACACATAGAATATTTACATTTTGTTTCTGTAAAATTAAATTTAGATAAAAGCATTTATATGCAAAACCTCCCTGTATATTGATATGCATTAAAGTAATATTTAACTGTTGGGAACTGCAAAATAGTAATTCATTATTTTCTTTCAAAAAGTGGTTTTCCATAGTAGTCCTTGAGGTCCCTATTTTATGAGGTTTGAAAAATTTTCTTCACTATTATGCGATCTCTGGTTTTGTGAATCTTCAAGAAATCGCTGACCTTGTTTAAAGTTGAATCGGGAATAAATTATATTTTTCGGCCAAAAATCTGATTTATATACTTGCTCCTGAAAATGAGGATCTATTCCCTCTAGAAAAGCTTGATTATTCTGTCTTAAAAAATATGTGTCTAGTTTCTTCACATAAATGTCTTCTGCGTTTGTGCGTTTATGAATGTATTTCTTAACATTCTCTTCATTTACAGTGTGATACTTTAGATACAAAGAGCCAAATTTTTTTGTTTGATTTTTCCCTTCCTTTAAATTCATCATCACCTTCTCCACTTCCCATAATTGTTTTGTTTTTCTCTTTTGCCGTCTTGTTACTGTGATATAATCATTCTCATGACTCCCCTCATTGGTATTATTTGCTAGATTTATTATTTCAATAGTTTTTTGTAGGGTTTGAATTTTCATTAGTTCTAATGCAACTTGTTTCCTTTGGAGGAATGAGTCATCCTGTACAGGGGCATTCCTATAATCGCTTGTGTTTTTGCTTGGTATTAAATGTTTATTTCCAACAGGTATACTCACACTTTCAGTTTTTGTTTGTTTTGGTTTTTCTATAAAAACTGGTCTTTTATTATCACATTATCACTGATAGATAAGTTTTGATTTTTATTGTCAACTCTTATAAATTTAAGATTTATTTCGTTATATTGTGTTTGCAGATCAGAATATTTCGTTTTTTCATTTTTAAGTTCAACTTTTAAGATTTCTATTTTTTCACTCGTTAATTGGTTTGCTAGTTTTTGTTTTTCTACTAGTAATTTTAAAAAGTTGTAAGCATCAATGCAAAATACATCACCTTTACTTTTTTCTTGATCCATAGTCTTAGATTTTTCAATAACTTTTGGTTTACAGCATCTTATGATAGCATTTACTCTAAAAAAGAAGAATAAAAAAGTAATAATCAAATATATAAAAGTTAAAATCAAATTTTATCAGTTTTAATAAAAGTTGTCAATTTTTTTTTAAAACTTGCTAATGAATTACAATCCTTCAAGCCCTTGGCAGTTCATTATATTCTTGGAAACCTTTATACAATAACGATACCTGTGATTTCAAATAATTAACTTTTTTAATGTATATATCGTTAGTTGATCTTGTGCTGTAATCATGAATATCCCCATGATAACAAATAAATTGATGAAAGTAGGATGAAGCCAAAGAAGAATTATTTTATAAACATAATTGTTAAGTAGTACAACCTTTGCTAAATCGAAAACCATTGAAGAGAATTTAATATTGTGGCAATTGGTGTAAGATGATTAGTTTTTAATATTATGCGCATGCCTCAATTTTGTTGTTTTTGAAGTTGATTTAACTTGTTGAGATTAAATAAATGAAGAATGGAGGCACAATAATCGAAGTGAGGCTGAATAATTGTATTATACACTGTTATTTTAGTTGAAGTTGACAAGTTATTTGAAATTCTAGAGAAGAAATATAATTTTTTCATTTTTTTTTATTAATATAATTAAAGAAATCATTAAAAGTAAGTAGATTATCTAATTGGATACCTAAATACTTAATAGTTGCAATTTT